GCAGAAGGGGCTGTGTCAGAATCTCCCTTCTAAATGCACTGTCCCTATTCAAGGCTAGACGGCCCCTGCTCTGCTTCCCCAGAGAAGTTCAGTTCTCCTCTTGATTCTCTCCACCCTTCCTGGTTTTTCCATGACTCTACTGTGCCCAAAAGCCATTGAATTTGGGGCTGAGAGTGCTGCTGTAGAGGCAACAGAGACAGGCAAGTTGCCCAAACCAGGTGAGAAAAGCAAGCTCCAGGCTGAACTCTGGCTACCAATTGGCTGCAGGATCTTGGAAAATTCATCCCCCAATCTGAATCTCAGTTTCCCCATCTAAAATGTGGAAGGAGGGGAGAGGTTAGAGTAGATGGCCATGTGGGGTGCTACAGCCCAGGAAAATGATGAGCCAGGGCCCCCCTGCTGTGCACCACTGTGCCAGGCCACCTGGTACTGCTAACAGTGCCCGGGGACTCAGGCTATTTTCTTGAGTAAGCAGTCCCTTCAACCTTTCCTCATACAGCCAGCCACATCAAGGTCAGCCCTGGCTATGCCGTGGACTCGGGCCCAGGCTCCTTCATGATGATAAAGGGAGACAAAGCCCATTCATTTATTAACTCATTCATTCGTCTTTTAATCATGTGTTGGCACCCACAGTGTGCCAGGCACTGCCTAACCACATCCAGCCCAAGAGACTTACCACCCTCAGACCTCTGTTAGAAGCCTCTACCTGGTCTCTCCTCAGCTCAGCAGCTTCTCCCCCTCACTCTAGAGAGGCTGCCCTCCACGTGCACTCCTCCCCTCCCCATCCCAGGCTAATGTCCAGTGTCCTCTGAGCTCCCACTTTCTGGATGGCTGCCTGGCTGCTTTTCTAGGACTGGCCCCACCTCTGCCTGAATAGGCCTCCAGGCCTCCACCTCTGGGTTTATATTTCACAGGCTCTTTAGCCCTGTCTCCTTTTCTCTCTAAAGATTCCTCCCTTTGCTTTGCTTTATCTAAGGTGGAGCCTTCTGGATCCAGCCTAGAGTTGTAGGAACACCACACACACATACAGCTCTGTGGCACTGAGTTTCCCACCCCTCCCAGCCCGCTTTTCTCTGCACAGCTGTGGGCAGTCAACAGAGACCCAGGGGCAGCCAGCAGGGAGGGGCACATGATTCAGTGTGAGACTGGCTGTTCACTTGGCCAAGGATGGTGGAGGGGCTGCGGGGTGGAGGGGATAGGAGTGGGTAGGTGCTGGTGAGTGGCGACGGAGGAGTTCATGTCAAGGAACAGCCAGCTGGGGTATGTGTCAGAGTGAATGGGCGGGTGTGTGGCTCCATGTGTGACCCTCCCAGCAGCTGTCAGCCTGCATTAGCAGACACATGGGTGAATCTGCACGCGGGTACAAGAGGCAGCAGGGTATAGGGGAGCATGGACAAAAAAACAAAACATTGGCTGCAGGGGTCAAACCAAGAGGTTTTCTGGTCCTGGCTCTCCTGCCAGGTTTCTAAGGCCCATCCCCTCTCTGGGCCTCAGTTTCTCCATCTGTAACCTGAGAGGGTTGAATTGGAGATCTCTAAGGAAGATTGCATCTCTAACATGCTCTGCTTCCTTGATTTTCTTGATACTGGGGCAGACTCAGAAACTCTTCCTTGCCCAGCCGGGTGTGACTCAGCTGTTGCGCATCAATCTAGGATCTAGGAGATCACAGTTCGATTCCCAGTCAGGGCACGTGCCCAGATTGCAGGCTCGATCCCCAGTCGGGGGCGTGCAGGAGGCAGCCTATCAATGACAACTCTCTCATCATTGATGTTTCTATTTCTCCCTCTCCCTTCCTCCCTCTCTGAAATCAATAAAGATATATTAAAAAAAGAAAAGAAAAGAGACTCTTCCTTTTTGCAGACAGAGGACACCAAAGAAAGATACAGAGTCCCTCTGAAATAGCCGTGAAACTTCCACTACTCTTGTAAATCACAGACTCTTTTTTGTACTTTGTCTTCCTAGAACCAATGGAAGGGCAGAGGTGGAGAAGAGTGGGGCTGCATCTGAGAACCTTCCCCTTGGTAAGCAGGGCTGGGGGCCAAAAGGAGGTATCCAGAGGTGCTTTGTATTCATGAATGCAGATTTCTAGAAAGAGTGCAAGGAGCCCATCCCTGCCGTATCACCACCCATGTTTCTCCAGGAGGGCCTTAAGGGCCGCAAGACATCTCTAGAGGCCAGCAAACACTGTGTTTGCTTAGAGGATGGGTGTTACAGATAAATAAAAATAGAAAAGTTTTATGAAGATGCTTTTATTCACACTCTAGGATGTTAAAATTGTCCATACTATCCTTGGTACCATCACTACTAAGCTGAATTTGAATCCTGACCTTACCACTAGCTTCCCTGGATGACCTTGTGCAAGTCATTCCTCTTTCTTGTGCCTTAGTTTGACTATCTGTACAATGCTGGAGGGGCAGGGGGTAGTTTCCATTGTCCCCAGGGTCCTTCCTAGGGAGCCCTCACAGGCAACAACTTCATAGTTCTCCCAAGACCTTGAGCTGTGGAGGAGCTGCAGGAGGGGAGGTCGGTTCCATTCATATTCCAATGAAAACGAGGCCAGGCAGGCAAGTATACTTTCTAAGTCTTGATTTGAAGTCAGAGGTGAAAGAACTTGCCAAGGTCACAGAGCAAGTGGGTGGCAGAGCCAGCCCAAGACCAGATCTTCTGGGTCAGAGTCCAGCACTCCGCCATTGTCCCCCACCCATATACAACTGATTTATTTCCCTCAAGTGTTCTAGGAAAATGGGTGGGGACTAAGAGAGCTCTCAGGACCCACAGCTGGGTCTGAGAAGGTTAAATTCCCAGCTGGAAACATTAATCAAGGCCTCCAGAAACTGGGCAGTCCTTGCAACTCACAAATAAGTACTTCAGGCCACAGGAAATGATCCCAGACCACAAGGCCTGGGATTGCACCAGAACAGTCCTGCTTGTGTGTCAGCCAATGTGTGGGAGAGGCAGCCTGGGGTGGGGAGGGGAAGAGGGCATCCTACAGAGCTTGGCTTTAGGCCTAACTCTGTTATTTTGCTAGTTGAGGATCTTTGAGCAAGTTATCCCCTAGCCCCATTTGTGAAATGGTAAGAACGGGCAGTATCTCCTCATGGGGTTGCTAGAGGAATTACTGGACTCACAGATGTGCAAGTCATTGCGAACTGAAAATGTTGCTCAGGTAGGAGGGACTGTTCTGTTCTTAGAAATGCTGCTTGTACACATGACCTCTGTGCAACTTTGGAGGAGGTCACCGAGGAGGGCCTTGTTCCAGGGCCACTGCATCTAGTGTTGAGAGAATGGGGAAAGCACTTGATTATCTATTCTGGGGTGTGTGCCTGTGTGAAGGAATGTGCCTTTGGGAGGAGTGGGAGCTGAGGGCCTATGGAGCACCCTTTCATGTGGGGGCTGAACTGAGGGGTCCTGAGGCAGAGCTGGGGCCTTTGGGCAGGAATGCAATTTCACAAAGCCACCCCACATTGCTGAGTCCCACCATGACCACAGCAGGGCACTGGAGACCTGGGGAAGGGGGTGGGGCTTCTGGCCTTTTCTCTGAGAAGAGACACTTTCCAAGAGGGTGGCTATAACACAGGATTTCCATTTCAATGCTCCCTGGCAAGCTGCCCTCCCCAGAAAAAGCTGCCCTCCCCAGAAATCTGCTAAAGGCTCACAGAAAAGCCTTTAAAAACACACTAATTACAAACAATTCCTTGGCTTCTCCAGATTTCCCTCCATGTGACACGGGGGGCTGGACTGGGCTGGAATGGGGAGGAGATAGGGAAGAGGAGGGCTCACTTACTTGTGACTGCTGCTTTATGTGTGAAAGCTGGGGTTGGAGCCCAGCCAGAGCACTGGCCTAAGGGGGCCAAGCATTGGTCTCCTCTTTCCCTCTGGGTGCCCCAAAGGTCTAGCTGGGCGTGGGTGGCTGGGAGAAGCTATGAGAGCCTAGAGCAGGTGCCTGAGAAAAGATAGTGGGTCTCCAGGAAGCCTGCTGCAAATGGGGCCAGAACAAGCTGCTGAGCTGGGTGAGCCAAGCCCCTGTGGCTTGTATAAACATGGGGGCCAGAGATAGGTGGCTGAAAGAAAGTCATTCCCTAATTCTTTCCTCTGATCCCCCAGGGAGGAAGTGGGATGGCAGGTCATGGTTCTGAGCTCTCCAAGCCCACCAAAGCTCTTTGCAATGGCTCTTAACAGTTCTGGCCTAATCTGATAGAGAGCCTGGGGCATCTTGGCTAAAGTTTGGCCTGCACACAGCAACCCCTACAAGCAGGGCCCAAGCCCTGGGAGGGGTCATTCTGTGCCTTTAGGAAGCTGAATGAAAGGAACCCCATTAATTTGTTCTGACTGGCCTCCATTAATGTCTTTGTTCATGTAGGGGACGTGGTGCCTTGGGAGCAGGGGGGCACTGTTTCATGCCTCTTTGTCCTTTGTCTGAAAATAACAATAATCACTCACACTCCTAGAGCATGTCCTCTGTGCCAAAAGCAGTTCTAAGCTCTTTACACGTACTTCCTCATTTCATCTTTGCAACCAGCTCTGTGAGGAAGAAACCAATGCACAGAGAAGTGTAATGACTTGTTGAACATCACACAGCTTGACAAGTAAAGGTAAAGATGCTGGGCTTGGAACCCAGGTGGTATGGCTCCAAAGTCTTAATGATTGTGTCTATGATGATTAGTGCCTGTCCCGTGCCAGCCTTTCCACACATGTATTTTCATGTACAACTCTGTGAGGCAGATACGATTGTCTCCAACATACAAACCAGACAGGAAAGATGTAACAGGGATTGCCTGCCTTTCTCAAGGCCCAAGAATTGGTAAGGAGCAGAGGTGGTATTTCAAAACCCAGCTCTGCCTACTTTTTGACATGCTGACTTCTGTGGAACACCTTTGTCACTGTTTCAATCATTCCACAAATTCAGATGCAGTCCTGTATATTTTGGGTGTTTAGCATGCACCAGACATTTATTTGTCTAATTGTTTTGCCTATATCATCCCATTTGAGACCACACCTGTCATGGGAGTTTGGGTGTGTCATTCCCATTTGCAGATGAGAACTCTGAGTATCAGAGACCTTCTATTTTGTCTCTTCTCCCTCTAGGCAGGCTGCCCCAAACCATCGCAGCATTTACATACCCATTTCTTTGGTTAGAATCCTCCCCAGCCACAGTCCCATTCTCCTTGGACCTCCAGCTAGAAAGAAATGGGGCCTGTTCAAGACTTTCTGTTGATAAAATGTTGGAGTCCCAACTCTACCACTCCAGAGCTGGGGCGACTTGGGGTAAGTTACTGCACTGTCTGAGCCATGAGGCTGGTCAAATGACAACATGGGATGGGAAAGCATTCTGTAAAGTCAGGAGGACTGCAAACAGGTAAGTGGGGGTCTCTGAGACCAAGAGACTCATCTCTGGGTTTCCATCCTTAGCATTCTGGCATAACCTCATTGTACACATGTCCAACACATGTACTGGCACCACTATTGAAACACACATACCAGCACCAATAAGCTTCAAACAGATGGGTAGGAGGGGATTGTCCTTGCCCCTGAGTTGTCATTCCTCCAGGCAGACCATCCACTCATTCCTTTAATCTTCCTTTGTAGGACAAGATTTGGAGACCTCCTTCCCCTAAGGCAGTGAGGTTAAGTAGAAAAGATCATGGGGTTTGGGAATCATGCAGACCTGGGTTTACATCTATGTTCTGCCCATTTCTAGCTGTGTGATCTCAGGAAATGCCATTTACCTCTCTGAACCTCCATTTCTTCATTTGCAAAATGGAGATATTAGTGCTATCAGACTAGTCAGAGGCTCAAGTGAAAAGTGCTGGGCTAGGGGATAGAGATGCAAAGACAAATCGACCTCAGTGCTTGACAGCAAGTAACAGGAGAGGAAGGTCAAGCAGTAGGCAGATAGTCTCAAGTGCCATGATGGAATTTAGCCAGGGGCCCAGAAGAGGGCCACTTGTCTTAGTCTCAGAGGAGGAGGTGGCTTCACAAGGATGGTAATGTCTGAGCTGGTCCTTGAAGTGGGAATAATAGCTAATAACAGCTAACACACTGCACTTAATATGTGTCAGGCCATTCTAAGTGCTTTATAAGCATTATCTAATTTACTCCCTAATGAGATGAATACAACCTTCTGAGATTAAAAAGAACTATTGTTATCCCCATTTTATAGATAGGGAAAGCGAGGCATTAAAAAGGTAAGTGACTTACCTATCTAGGCAGTCAGGCTCCTGAGCTCACCCTCTTACCACTCCATCAAGCTGCCTATGTAAGTAGGAGTTTGCCACCTGAACAGAGGCTGAGAGAATTGAGTGTGACATAAGGAGCACAATACGTGCCAGAGCTAGGAGATGAGGGTAGGTGGGCAGGGCCAGACCCTACAGGGCCTTGTGTGCAAGTCTGGGGAACTTTGACTCTGCTCTGGAGACAATGAGGAGCATTTTAATTGGGAAATTACATGCTGAGATCTGTCTGCAGAAAAGGTCTCTCTGACTTCGGTATGGAGGTTGGTCAGAGGAAGATGCACTCTGGCGGCAGAGAAATGATCAAGGCCTAAATTAGGACAGTGTTTGTAAGGATGGAATGCTTGGGATAGATTCCAGAGCTATTAAGGAGGTAGAATTGGCAGGTCATGATAATTAATTAGATATGAGGGGTGAGAGAGAGGGAGGAATGAAGGCCTAGCTTGAGAGCCTGGGTGGGGCTGCCCCTTGATAAATGAAACTAGTGGAAGTGTGGCTGTGAGAATAAGTCCTGTTTGGGGCCAGGTGGGTTTTAGAGTGTCTTTGGACATGACCACAAGGTAAATGTCTATACTGACTGAAGCTCGTGAGAGGGGTCCAGGCTGAGGAGCTATTTGGAATTCACTTGCTGGGAGGAGATGGTAGAAGCCACAGGAGTGGTTGGCATGCCTGCAGAGCATCTTTGGGGAGGAGAGCTTGTGAGAAGCACTTTAGGGGACCCAACATTTAAGGGGTGTACTGAAGAAGAGGGGCCTGGGAGAGGGACTGAGAAAAAAGGGTCAAAGAATTAGGAGGAGAACCAAGAAAGCCAAGTTTAAGTAGAGAGTTTAGAGTTAGGTAGTAGAGATTTTCCTGAAGCAAGAGGTGGTCAAAATATCAAATGTGGTTGAGAGGTCCACTGAGTTAAGGATAGAAAATCACCCACTGACTTTTGATATTAGATCTCTGAGGTCGGAGTGAGAGCTGACATAGGGACTGGAGCCTGAGAGCAGTGATCTAATTTGGCAAGGGCAGGAGAAGTGGGGACAGCCTGGCGAGGACCCTGGGAAAAGGAGATACAGAGCACTAGCTAGAGGGAGACACAGGGTCAAGAGGGAGCCAAGAGCAGGTTATGGAAATGTTAGGCTCTTCTCTCTGGGCTCCTTTGCTTCCTGTCTCCCTAACCCCCACTTGGGTTTCTGCCTTGGGCATGCTGAGGTTTGTCAGTGCCTTTCGAAGTGCTGGGCCCTCCACCTTTCCTCAGGCTCTCTCAAATCTTGCAGCAAAACCTCTTTCCTTGGCTCTGGAATAAAGCCCTGGGAGAGCCAATGAGACAGCAATTAGACCAGTTGCAACGGCCATCCCCTCACATCTTTGTGCCAAGACAGGCCTGATAGCACCTCCCACACTCTTCCTGGGCCAGACCCACTGCCTGCTCTCCCTCCCATGTGACCCTCATCGCCACCATCTACAGAGGAGTCTCCAAGGGGCTGGAGGATGGGAGGTGACCTTGCTAACCTCTCTGTCCTCTGCCTGAGCTGGACATCAGTGTTTCCAGGAGCCGAGTGCAACCCTAAGAACCCCAGGACTGGGCCAGTGACCACCAGTTTAAGGGCAGGGAAAGAGGGTGAAGGAAAAGGACAGGAGAATGGCTCCTTTCCAGACCCCTGCCCTTCACTTCTGTGTGACTTAAGATGTAGCCCCCTTACAAGGCACTTGTGTCTCCCCTTCTGTGAATCTTCAGAGGATTCCAGCTCCTAGAAAGAAATGTGCCTTTATCTGTGGGGTTGGTCCTTGTGGGCCTACAACATCTGCATGCTGTGCTCTGTTGCTGTGGGGACCTAATTTTTTCCAGAGGCTTTTCAGCCATGGGAGGAAGACTTTATCGCCCTGGGAATCATCCATTTCCCATCGCTAGCCCCAGCCATAGACCAGTCTTCTCCTATCCTGTTTCAAGCTTATACTCAATGGCAGCTCCCTGCCCTTAACTTCACCCTTGTAAAGCTAATATATCCTACAACTATCATAAAATGTCCATCTCAACAGTTTTTGGTAGAATGAAGGCTATGAATACCTCAGTCTATGTTGCATGGAAAAGACCCAACTTCTTCTCTGCCCTTCCTCCTTCCACAAGCATCTCAGTCTCTGGCTCTACATTCCTGGGAAACAGAAACACACCAGAGATCACTCCTGCCCTTACAGAGCTCACTATCTGCTGGGAGACATAGACAGACTCACCGATAATCCAAATACCTTATTTAGATGTTGCGCTGGGAGATTGTTCAGAGTACAGGGAGGGAGTGATGGAATTCTCACTAGGCGCCTGGGAGACCTGCAAGGTCAGTAAATGTGTGGGAGGCAAAGGAAGCAGACCTGGAGGCACACAATGGCCTGGTGTTTTTGAAAGATGGGGCCTGGGTTCTGAGCACCTCTCATGATACAGATAGGACACTGACCTTTCAAAAAGAATGTCCTCCCCCAATGTTTTATTCTTATGAGATCATGTAAAGAAGCAGGGGAAAGCTGCATAAACCACAGCTTGAGGACTGGAGTCGCCAAGTTGGCTGTGGGTGCTGAGGGCAGCTGGGCCTGGCAGAGACAGAATGTATGGTGAGCTGGGGCCAAGTGGTGGCTGTAGAGTAAACTGGTACCAGAGACTTGAAGCCCTCGGCCTTCTCATCTCTAAAATGGGGACATAAGCTTGATATGTAAGAGAAATGACAGAATCCCTGTAAAAAGGCATTGGAAATATGAAGCTGTGTTCATGGGAAAGATTGTTGTTATTGGGATCCCTCTTTCCAGCCCTCAGGTTAAAAGCTACCACCTTCAGGAAGCCTTCCTTGGTTCTTGCCAGCTGGCAGTCATCACCCCTCTTCTGACCATTCCTTGTACAGCATCCATGAGTGCCTGAAAGGCAGAGCCCAAGTCTGGTTTCTCTCTGCATGTGCAGGGTCTAGCCCTGGATAGGTTCCTACGAATCAAGACTCAGGTACACTCATGTTCTGCCATGCTCACACATGGCTCAACATACCAGCATACCTGGACAGGAGTCTAGGTACCACACTTGGAGATGCCCCTGTGAGCACAGGTGTTCTCCGGCATGTGCACCAGTTCCCACATTCACATGGACTACTCTCCTGTGAACAGCCTCCCCTCACACATGTGTGTCCCTTTTCAGTTTCTTTTTAGTAGTCTGTTGGACTCAATACCACACACTCCAGTTTACAGACAACAAAGTGAGGTTCAGAGAGCTGTCCTGCCAGCAGCCTGGAGAAAAGCTTCATGTAGAAGCCCTAGTGGGCACATGCTTTCTCTGGGCATACCCTCAGCCTTGTTTGTGTACGTGAGCCCCCAGGCTAACTGATTTCTGCTCCACATGGGACAGCAGAAAGTATCAGTTTGACCTTTTGAGAAGTGCTCACAGAACTGGTCACTTACTGGGAAGGCAGTGCTGCTGGTGGGAGTGGAGTGGGGAGGGTGGGGGCAGGGGTGTCAGAGTTGAGGAGGGAGGGGAAAACCTGATCAAAACCATGTCACAAAGGAGAGAGGAAGGGGGAGAGAGAGAAGGAGAGGGGAGAGAGAGGGAGACAGAGAGAGAGAGGTTTCCATTCACAAAGAAATCATTATGGTTAATTTAATTCATTGTAGCATTTAATACAGAAAAGCTTTTCTACAGAGACTGGGCATCAGGCCAACATTTATATATAAATGGGTTTTATTTTAAAAGCAAATGCAGTGAGGGGGATAGACTGGGGCTAGTCCTCTCACTCCCTCTCTCCTTCCCTCCCCTCTTTCTTTAGCTACCTTTCTGAGCCTGTGTAGATGAGGAATTGGGTTTCCCAGAACGCAGGAACCCCCAACTCCCCACTCCTATGGCCCAGAATTTCTCTTATTCCTGTCCCCAAGCCTTGGTTTCTCCACTTTCTCAGGACCATAGGGAGACCCTAGCCTGTGTCTAACTCAGAGCTGCATTTAGAAATTAAAATCCTTGAATGCTACCCTTAAGGTAGCGCTTGGAGATCACTTCACCTGCTTTGTCCCCATGAGGCAGCCTCT